CATTTGGCGAGTAAGTGATAAAAATCAAGTGGAATTTTATTCAGAAAAGAACTCAATGCATAACATCTGTAAAGAAAAAATTTCCAAGACTTTTTTGGCTGCTAATTTTGTATGCATTACAAAAGACACAATTGGTATCCATACATGACGCACTCAATGCTCAAGGGTTTGCAATGCATTATAGGCCGATTTCAAACACGATCAGCCATTTGCAAGTTTTCCGATGTGAGGGAATCCTTTACAGCAAAGCAAAAAGATACATTGCTTTCTTTTCTTATGTTGAATGATATAGAAGCAAAGATCTTTCACTATGTATTTCTGGAAGGACATAATGACTGAGAAAATAAACGTTATTGTCAACACAGAGAAACATAGTCGTCATTTATGGTAGCCTGTGAACGGAGACATATTTTCGGTTGTCGACTATACCAGAATTTTTGGTCACCAAAGATGAAATTTTAGCCGCATTGGCGACCGTACCGGTCACAACTTTGAGCCTTTTTAACAATTTATAAAACCAAATTTTATGGATGGACAATAGGTGTTGGTGAAATGTTCGGACATCATGTCCCATCAAAATGTGAAATTGGCCGGACATATTCAAAATTTGGTCGGACAATGTCCGATGACCGACTGTTATTTCCAGCCCTGCTGTATTTTGGTAATTATGTTCCACACTTGCTGCATCAGCATCAGCATCAGCAAGTCTAGTGCAATACCAATCATCTACTTGACATTTCGACTGAATGAATTCAACAACAACAAAACCAAGGAAATCTACATTTAAATGCAATATCACCTGATATCACTACACCTGAGTATCAAACGAAGGATGACAGAAATGTTACAGAAAATTAGTTTAAGATTGATTGTTATTCCAGTTAAAGCCAAGAAATGCATTTAGAAGCTGGAAAACACCCGAAATCTCAAAGACTTGCAGTGTTTAAGTTTAATAATTATTCGCGCTAAAGCGTAATTTGAATATTATTTTTGCCTGGGGACGGCTTTGCAGTCATTTTACCAGCCGTAGCTTTACCACTCTTTTACCGGCTAATAACTTTAAAAGAATTCAGCCAAACATTTCACCAAACCAATAAATTGAACAAAACAAGCAAGTCCCCATACTTTGTAGACACAAGATGCATGTCAACATACAAGCATCAAAAAATGTCAAACATAGCAAATCAATGGTTTTCCTTCTTCCAACAGTAACAGAAGAAGAAATTAAAGCAGTCTACAAAGCACCTGTCCCTACTAACACATTTAGACAACTTCAAAATTTGCCTGGCAGTATCTACAAATACAGTTTTATTACTTTTAGGCGCGAGGTTATCGATATATGGTGAAAAACGACAGAAAACTAAGCTTACTTGTTTACAATATGCAACTTCATTTTTTTCAACAACTCAAGTCTTATTGTTTGAAATTTATCAAATTTCTCACTGCACGGTTTCAAATCAGCTAATCAGCTAATCGCACTGCTTCACGGTCTTGTTCGGTATTATTTCATTTCCTTTCTCTAGGCGGCTGACTGACAATAATTCACATTATTGCTCAGTACTGTTTCACCTCCTTTCCCCAGCCCCGCTCTCTTGCAATCTTCTTCGCTACTTCTTTGCTTGTTCATTCTTGCTCTCGGTTGCTTTCTTTCACATTCTGCTTCAGTTTAACCCTATCTTGAAAACGTTAGATCAACCTTTGCTATTGTTTGTTGACATAACAAATAGGAATGAGTTTTCAGGCAAGAAAAGATGGCATTCTTAAGCTCCCCCGTTAGGATTACTTTGAGATGCCCCTCCCCCTATCCCAGATGTCTGTACAGACAGACAGACGGACAGACATCAATTGTATGGTGACATCATTACCAAATTTTCTCAGCTTGATGGGTTACCATATTTCCTTACCCGTTGTGCTTTGCTAGCGTGCTTCACGTGCTGAAGCTCCACTATAATTAATGAAAATGGTGAACATTTCAGTTCTCAAGAACTCATTTGCCTGAGTGAAAATAACATGTATCAGATTTCTCTGGTGAATTGTCTGAAAGAAAATTTGCTACACTTGCTCTGTTTGTAGTTGCAAGGATTTTCTTCGCTATTTTTGATTTCAGGCTTGATTTCAAATCTCAGTTCTTTCTCTTCTTCAATAGCATGGGGGAATACTCCACCTTGGCGTGAACATAGATTCTCTTGCAGTCTGTTCCAGGAACATGTCGTACACACCTGAACAGTTTGGCCATGAGGGCTTCTTCTAAGTTCACATAGCAGTTTTCATCCTCAAGATAACAAACATGAATTTGGTTGACCATTATATCGTGAAATGTTTTGGTTATATCTTTCACTCTACTTATGAATCTTGAGGTGAAGAATGTTCCACATTTATGGACATCTGCGCCGTAACAAAAACATTTACTTGATACAGAGCCATGACTGGAGCGAAAACAGAACCCAACCTGTAAAAAATGTCACATGTGATGACCAATCTGGGCACTCCAACTGGTCATGTGCACAAGCCCAAAATTCAAAACTGATTGATCGTTTTTAACATGGTGCTAACAGTTTAGTGATTTTGGCAGTATTTAGTTTGTTGATGCCCATAGTGCTTGGTTTGAACCAGGATTTGTTGCTGGAGGAAGCTACAAAGTTTCAAGTATGGTTTATGCTAAGATAAAATGGCTTGTCTAACTGTGGCATCAAACCTGGCCTTTTCTGAACATAGAGTTTGAATGAAGACTGGGTCTCTTTTAAGCAATTTTAAAGGCTTAGGTTTTGCCGTTCTCATTGATATTTTGAGGTTCAGCTTGTAATCTAGTTTTGGTTTGCCATTCTGAATATTCCAAATAAACCGTTCCATTGGTTCCTTACATAAGCCTTACGTTGCCAGAAGCTATCTGCGATACTCTTCGCATCGTGGCAAACCAAAATTGCCTGTGTTGAGGAGCCAGAGTGTATTTATGAGAGCCTTAGCACTAAAAATTCCAAGTAGCCCTGACTGACTGTTTACCTTTTCTCAGAAAAAGCTTCAGCTGCGTTTGGTTTACTTCCTTTGCCTTTGTTTAAAGCTGCTTGCTCTAACATTTCAGACATTTCTTTGCATGATCAAACTGTCTGTCATGGATAATGTTTACGGGATATTTGCCTTCTTTCGAAAACTAATTCACAATTGAAAAGAGTCCTTGAGACTTGATGGGTTGTGATCCTCGACATGGTTTATTTCGTACCCACACCTATTGCAAGCACATCTTAAGATTGACAGAAGTGGTTACCGTTACTTCAGTGACACCAAAGTCAACCTAATCTGTTGTTGACAACCCAAGGAAAAGCTATGACATTCAAGGTTTTTATAGCAAGGTAGCACTTATTATACTTAGAATTATTAATAACCACTGATACCTTATGCCAGAGTGTTTGTGCAGCCCGTAACCTGAGCAGTCTTGTTTGTAAGACATTGATCATGGTGCCATGACCTCTTTCAATCTAAATTTCATTAAACAAAAAACATTTTATAATTTTATTTATCAAAATAATACCATTTCACAAGTTAGACAAACCCTTCAATAGACATTCCTTGACTATTTATAACTGGATAATTGCAATTCAGCATTCCCAATCATGCACAACCAACATAGGTAGCACCTCTATAGCAAGAAAGAGAAGAGAAGATACAGGATCACGGACATCGTTTTCACACATGCAAAGGTGTAGAATGAAACAATGGCCATTGCAACCACTGCAGGGAGTCAGTAGGGTAATGTTAAAAAGGGTCTGTGTGTAATAACTTGTGTTCTCCAGAGTAACATACAATGCGTCTTGTGAGTGAATACATTTGCATATATCCCTCAGGAATGTAATACTGAAAAGGGTTTAGGTAGCCTGCCAATATATACAGAATGGTACTTGCTGCTTCGTGCCACCTAAAATCACTCCCAAGATGGAATTTTGCAACATCAAACTGTTGTTTATTTCTGCAAAGACCAATTTGGTCTTTGCAATATTGAATTCTTCTCACTAAACTTTCCCAACTGGCAAAATATTATGGATCCATTAAAATTTTAAAGTCCTTCCAATATGACATTTCTCAGTTCTTGACCCAATAATTTATCAATTCCGTTATTGGCTCTAAAAACCAGCAAAAATAAGCAAATCTGGAATAAGAAATTACTCATTATTAATAGATTTATCTTACTACAAAGATTGCACCCTTTTCATTATGTCTCAGTCCATGAACAAACTTTAGCCACTTCATTTTTCATAATCAGTTACTCTTCTAAACGACACTCACAACATTTAAGTTACACTTAATGGAAAGACAAAAATGATCCTACATACATCCTATGCTACTCTAATGACATATTAGGTAAACACACAAAATGATCACAAAATAATATTGTGTGAGCACCACACAAGTGAGTTCCTATTTAGCCTTGGACTGTTGCAAGCTAAGCTGTGATAACATGTAGTTTAAAATTTTTAATGTCACAGAAGTTGCTTGCATTCCTCATTTTTAGTGGCATTTTGGTGTCAGGTGGAAATAACTTATCTGTCTGCATTGGCAGGCTAAGGACTAGGTGGCACTCAGAGTTCACAAATGTTCCACCGAATACACTTTACAAATACTAAAAAATTCGAAGAGAAATACCTCTTGAGCCTCATTTTGTGGTTGTAAGGAGCACAGACTTTGACTTTTAACAACTGTTGCTCCTAAGGAAAAAAATGATGTTATAACTAGCATACTGAGTTGCTGTGCTTCAATTTATTAATGTGTTATCTTCATCTGTAATGGGATGGCATACAAGGAATCAACAAAATTTAATTTGACTGAAGACTAAATTCCAGTTTAAGTTACCTTTTATGTATCTTTGGATTACTGTGTGGCACAAAATTTTTACAGGTTCTATTAAATTTTGGCAACTTTTTCAACGATTCCCCCCCACCCAAGAAAAAATTCCTAATTGAAAAATTATCTGTTTACACTCTTTAGGTTATTACTGTAATTAATGTGCGAAAAAAAAGCACCAACTATAGAATCAAAGGAGGTTTTTGTGTTGGTCTTTCATCCAAAAGACAGGAATAAATTTTCAACCTAGGTTTCTTTATGCATGGTTTCTTCTCAGATGCAGTTCACCCATTCTACACCTTCAGTTCATGTGTGTCAATGCGTTAAAGTACCAGTAGTAGTATTAGCTTTCACCCTTGATACACTGTTTGAGGACGACACACAAGTAGTAATTGAAATGACTTATGAACCCAGGGGTGGGGTTGTACTCCCAGAAAAATTGGGTAGGGGTGTGCGGCCTGCTTCCCAAAACCCTTACCCTATTCATGACCAAAATCTGCAATATTCCCTACCCTATTTATGACCTGACCAAAACTTCAAAACCCTGTTTATGACCTAACCCTTAAATCAAAACCCTGTTTCAGACCTGCATTATAAGAAGTTCCCTAGTTCAGACCAATGTTAAATTACAATAAACATAATTTGTGAAGGGCTTTTGTTGATTTTCTTTTCGATAATGGCAAAAAAGTGGCTTCTTTTAAAAAAAAATACCCATATCAAGGCTAGAGCGCAAAAACCATACCCTATTTATGACTGAAATGGCCAAAATCAGCTAAAATCGATACCCTATTTATTGACCAAAACAGCTGAGAAACCATATTCTTTGGGGNCCCCCCCCCCCAGCCCCAGGCTTATGAAGGCCATTCTGGATGCTGGCATTTGGAGTTATTCCAGAAGATTTACATGTGAGCTTTGTTCAGTTCCATTTTATGAGGGTTGTGAGCAAGGATAGGAGTTTTGAGCAAGCCTTTTATTTATTAAATTTGCCATCATTAGTTTTGTTATAATCTTGTGCTCTATTATATTAGACAGTACCTTTTCTTGATATAATAACTTGAGTATGTAAATCCTCTTGGGAATGTCTTCTAAAGGATATCTAAGTAGAATGAAAATTAAGTTAAAAATTAAACATCTGGTTTTAACAATTCAAGAAAATCCCAGATTATTTGTTTTTTTTGTTTTTTTATTTTGTTCGGTGACTGTGCCAGACATTCCTGACTTATATGTATGTGTACAAAAACATTGCAAATCATCTGGGACTTCAGGACACACTAAACAGGTGGAATATAAAATGTTTCTATTGTCTTAAGACAGACCCAACCCAAATCATATTATAACAGTCAGCAATTATTCGTGACTTTTAAAACACAAGTATTTCCTTAACCTCAATATGATTTCCATTGTCTTAATCCCCAGAGCCTCTGCTTCAAGTTAGAATTTTAATACCATATTTATTGTGTTCGTAGAACACAGTCCTAATGCAGACTTGAGTCGAGTTTCATTCATCGCCAAACCATATGCTGTACATTTCTTTCGAGTGCGGGTCTTTGTTTAGTTCAAGTGCAGGTGTTTGTGGACATTTACGCTGTAATTTGGAAGCTGTAAGCAGTCCATTTTCTTTTCTAGTCTTTCTGATTGGATATCATGAGACTAAAAGATATCACTGTTAACATTTATCGATGCCTTAAGGAGGTATGTATGACCTCTGGTGCGAAAGTAGAGTTTTGCACTGTTAGACGAAATCGCCCATTGTCAGCAACAAACAACTGCATTGACGAAGCTCAACTTCAGCTGTGTTATTTTGCTCCTCTGCCTGAGCTTTGTAGTCAGAAATCTAACTTGCTGAGTTGTGTGGCTCGGAAAGTGGCCGTGATTTGTTTTCAGAAATCTATCTCACTGACTGGTGTAGACTGTAGTTCGAAAATTGGCCATAATTTGTGGTCAGAAATCTAACCTGCCGAGTTGTGTAGCTCGGAAAGTGGCCATCATTTGTGGTCAGAAATTTAACTCACCAAGTGGTGTTGTTCCAAAACTGGCCANCTCTACTCTACTCTACTCTACTCTACTTTACTCTACTCTACGCTACGCTACGCTACGGTACCCTACGTTTGCTACGCTACGCTGCGCTACTCTACTTTACTTTACTCTTCTCTACTCTACTCTAAAATTCAAGAAAACAATTTGAATTTAAAAAAAAAACTTAGGGAAAAAAATGGCCCAGTATCTCGCGAGAGAGAGAAGCAATTTTGGTTTAAAGCATTTAATGTTTTTTACTTGCTTCAATATTTCATAATAATTAATTTAACATACTTTTGATTTGCTATTACAGCACTCTTTTAGAGCGTATAAGATCAGGACAGACGAACCACATCCTGTTGGTCTAGTGCAAGTTAGCTTCAAGCACTCTAGTGGACATTGAATGGAGGCTGCACAAGCATTTCAAAACGCTGCTGACAGCTACATGTCAATTCGACAGTTACGTCTACTTTAAAAGGAGGTGTTTTTCCCGATGAGAATGTTAGAGGCAACTTGCCCTGGGATCATCTATCTGATAAACTTAAACACATCAGTTTAATGCCACGTGATGTTGGTGGCAGTGGTGATTGTTTTTTCAAATCAGTTTCTTATCAGCTTTATGGAACTGCTGATTTACACTTTCAAATTCGTTTGTCAGGAATAGCCCATTCAATTAATCACCCAAAGTTGTATGTTGAAAGTATTGTTGATGACAATTGGGAAAATTATGTAAAACAAATGTCAAATGCAGGCACAATGTAATTATTCAGGCAGTAGCAAACTCACACAAATGTGTCATTCATGTTACTGAGTCTGATTTTTAAATTTTAATAAACCTGATGGTACAATTATTTATCCTGCATCAACTACATATCATGAGAAAAAGCAAACAGTGATATTCATTGGACACTTTTATATATCGCAAAAGGTTTCTCTGCTACCTTTTAAACTAAACCTGACTTGTCAACAAGTCAATTTCCACCATACAAAATAAACATAATACATACTGTTTTGTTGAAGTTGTTGTGTCATAGTTCAATGTAAACTATACAAATACTTTTGGAATTCACCCTCAGTGATAACTACTCTACTGTTCGTTATTTTGTTTAAGTTGCTCAGTTCAAGTTCAAATTCACAATTAAAAATACTCGTTAACTGCACTTTTAGACTGTGATAATTGTCTTAACTGCTCTTCTACAATTACCATTAATANCATGTGATTACTTGGATTTTTGGCCTGCTATATTCTGTCCTTGTAATTCACAACCGAGTGGTGTTGTTCCAAAACTGGCCATCATTTGTGGTCAGAAATTTAATTCACCGAGTGGTTTAGTTTGAAAATTGGCCGTGATTTCTGGTCGCAAATCTAACCATCTGAGTCATGTAGCTGGGCATTTAGCCATGATTTCTGGTCGCAAATGTAACGATGCGAGTTATGTAGCTCAGAATTTAGCAACGATTTCTCATCATATGTCCGGAAAATTTACATAATACATATTGTTTTGTTTAAGTTGTTGAGTTATAGTTCAATGTAAACTATACAAATACTTTTGGAATTCACCCTCTGTGATAACTACCCTACTGTTCGTTATTTTGTTCAAGTTGTTCAGTTCAAGTTCAAATTCACAATTAAAAATACTCGTTAACTTCACTTTTAGACTGTGATAATTGTCTTAACTGCTCTTCTACAATTACCATTAATAACCAATTCTGTCCTTATAACAATCTCTCAGGTATGAACAACAATTTACCATATACCCTGACAAACTTACCACAAAACAAACTACACATGGTACCTCACGAATGATGAACCAGAACTAAGCTTATCTAACAGTACCCTTTTCTAAAGTGAACATATGCAAATGTGCTACACAACATATTTGGTCCTATGGCCTACCCAAATTCATTAGCTTTGCATGTACCTCTACACCTTTTCAATAGACCAGAATGTCAACCTTGCCTAAACACCTTTACACAAATGCACTCATAATCTATGATTACTTCTAGTTTAAATAAGAACATGTACTGCCCCCAAATAGGTGCCACTTACATATTATGTACGGGAATTACATACCCACGATTTAATAAGCAAAGCAAACTCTGAAAGCAAAGCAACTCTAAAACTGTATTAAAACATTTCTTTTCATCTGGAGCAATGAAGTAAAGGGACAGTGAGATTGAAGTTGATTGCACACACCACTGGTAAAGAAGAAGTGCCATGAGAGACACATAGTGACAATGATAGTTACACTAATATTTCTGAACAGTTAGAAAATTACGTGTCCCTTGAAATAAAAGAAAAAGACATCTTTGTTGCATCTAATTTTTGAAAGGAGCACTACCCTCAAATAAGCGCCACATTTGAGGCACAAAAAATTTAATAACTGCAGTGATCAAAATTGGCCCATTGAGTGTTGAGTATTATGAAGGAAAAGACTGAGTTCATGTACTAATTACAGGGTACATGTACATAGAATCCTAAATAGTAAAACTAAGGTTACATTCAACAGTTCTAATCTTCACAATAATCTCACTGAGTGTGTAATTTCTGGAGAACACAGCTTTGTTTTTCATGTAGTTAAAATTTATAATAACAATTTTTACAGTTGCCCAGTGTGCAAGTGTACATTAAGCATACATGGCTTAGTCAGTACATTTTGTTGGATTTAAAGTTACTGTAGACCTTCAGGGCAGTCTTTTGCCCGAGATAAAACCAAGCTAATTTAGCAACAGCTAGAATGTACAATAAAAGAAAGATTGATTTTAAAGAAATACAGTACACCTATTAAAACGGTTCAACATTTTGATGTTAACTAACATCATGATCATTGTTATCAGCATCATTAACTTAATACACTAAGAAACTGTTTTACAACAAGTACTTTAATTCAAGCTACTGCACGATGCTTGCTATTGCATTTGAGCAGACATTAAGAGCAGGCATCAGCAAAAGCTAGCAGAACCATCAAACCAAGAGGAAAAGGCAATTAAGAAAAAGTGGGTTGTAAACATTTCAAACAGAGAGCTGTAAAAGAATGAAATATCTCTCCTCTTAAAAAGGTTTAACTTCACTATTACCCTGCAAAGTATACCAGGGATACATGTTGGTTTTTTCACCAAGTCGTCAGCCAGGCAGGTATGCCAGGTGACATACTTGGACTAGCAAAATTTTACTTGCCAATTCAATTGGAAAGAATGGCAACTGAACAACATGTAATTGGAAAGTTCACTTTTTTATTTTCATAGTTGCGACAGTTGATGTTCTGGAGTTGGCAGACACAGACTATCCAGGTGTAAATAAAAACCAAGGCCTCTTTCACTGCTACAAAGGCTGCAAGGAATGCTCTCATTATTCCTGCTTGTATTTGGCTTGTTTTTTCAAAGTGCTAACAATAAATGCTACAACATCCTGATCAGAGGCCTCTGAAAATTTGAAACTCTGTGTGTCCTGAGGTACATTCTTGTGTATTTTAATTACCCAAAAGTGATTTTGTGTAAGGCTACTGTACACTTTATTTAAAGAGTTTATTGAAAACTTGCTCATTGCAAGGTGAGTTTCTTTGGAAGTTCACATATAAAATGCTACATAGTGCTTTTCATTCTATTGGTACCTGTTAGATAGCAGTATCACGTTTGGCTTGCAATTCTACTTAATTGAACTGTTAAGGACGGTGCCTACTATTGTTTATGCGCACATTTTCTGCACATCATGCAATGCATAGATCTTGTGATACACAGCTCGTGCAATGGTGGTCTCGTGCCACGAGTTTACTATTTTCGTGACTTTGCTTGTTGCTTGTTTCAAAAGTTGGATGGTATGCCACCTTCGGTAAATTACCGTAAAAGAAAGCAGAATGGCCAGTTCATTAGAAACAAATGTAAAAACAAGTGTAGACGAGTTTCTTCAGGGGAATGTGAAACGAAAGACAAAAACATCGCTGAAACGAGTAATGGAACAGAATTACCTGAATGGACTCCTGAGCGCGCAAAATATTGTTGGAGAGACGGCAGAAGAATTGTGGAACTGGGGTTTTTAGCTGACCAGTTGAAAGCGGGTTGCTCAGAGTGTAAAAAGACCTTAAATATTACAAATATTGTGGAGGAAACGACCCAGGGTCTGGGGTCAATCCTTTACATTCAGTGTGAGGAATGCTCACAGCTCAATGCTATAAAGACCGGGAAAACTCACCGCAGTCCTACAAGAGTGTAGGAAGACCGATATGGGACATAAATACAAAGGCAGAAACAGGTTCGTGAAATTTATTGTCATTGTCCTTCTCTTTATTCTTATTCATTTCCTTACAACTTACGGTAGTCCTTGAAACCCAGTTTCACGGGGGAACCCATTTCGATGCAATGTTATTGCGAAAACACAGCCAGTGTTACATGACTGCGCATGCCGCCTGATCAATTTCTCATTTTGCCAAGACCTTTTCAGTAGTTTTTCTCGCTATCTAAAATTATTATTACCCCTATATAGTCTTATTGTAGTTTGTTCGTTCACAACTTCCCAAAGAGTGAACTTTTTCTCACGTGCGAACTTATTTCAATGTAATTATAAAAACAAACATTGTTACGTGACCGCCCGTACTCGTAGTCCAATTTGTCATATACTTGCGCTACAATTTGAAACTATCTTTTTTTGTTTTTCACTTTGCTAAAGGATCAATAAATGCTGGAATAGGAGCTACTGGCATGAACGTGTTCCCAACCTCATTTAATATTCCATGGCTCTCGAAAAGAGCGTACAAATTTCGGGAGGAAGGGGCAATTGGGGGATTTTCCAGGTCACTAAAGAGACCTGCACAGAAGCCATAAGAAAGGAGGTGGAGGCTACTGTGGAGTCAAACCCTTCTGAGACCACAAGGTAAAAATACAGTCTTAGTTTTGAAATTAAAACAAGGTGTAATTTCCCAGAATTATGTGTAAGTAGCTGAACTATGAATGAGACAGATAGATTCACGCAAGTTTACAAAAACTTAAGTGCTTACAAAAGGAAGAAAATCTCAGAACAAATACGTTTACAAAGTGTCTTCTGACCAGTTTAAAAAATTCAAAAGATAGTGGCTTTGCCACTAAAAAATACTCTCTGGGTCTCCGGACAAAGAATTAACCGATTTTTACCAAATCTCCTTTACCTTGCTACAGAAACAAAGCAGAAATAAACGTTAGCTTTGATGCCGGCTGGCAAAATGAGGATCTGGAAGAGCATGCAATAGTTTGTCAGGTATTGTATTGAGTCATGCGAGGCCTTTTTTGTTTTCCAATTATTAACTACAGTTATAACGAATGCGAAAATATAATTTTCAACTGACCAAGTCATTCTCATTATGTCAATAAAATTTGGGTTACACCTTGTTAGAGTGGATGAAAAGGCACTGCTTTACAGATGAAAACATCAGATTTTTAACAACAGAAATTTGTCAAATATTACTAAATGATTTTTTTCACAACAGAAAATCAATAGAATTATTTTAAAAAAAAATAATACAAAGTTAAGCAGCCCCACCTCATGAAGAGGTCTTGATCCACCATTTCTTCAAGATGGTGTTTGCTTATAGGAAGCTGATGCAGGTTCTTGACTGATTTTGGGAGTATCCTTAAAGTGTGCATTTTGTTTCTAGGTCATTCAACATTGATTGGCTCAAGAACTGGAGGAGTTCTGAGTTATGCTGTAAGATCAAAAAGTTGCAAGGTCTACGATCATGCCAGAAGAACCAGTCAAACACCAAGAGAGCACCAGTGTTCACAAAACTGGACAGGTAAGTTCTGGTCTAATAGATGCATCTTTTTGCAGTTTTTATGTATGACTCTTTATTGTTACTTGTAAGCAGACAATTGCACAATAGTTACAAAAGGCTTTGGTTTTATGCCATTGTTTGACTATATTTTGTGATGCATAGTACAAAAAAGAAAAAAACAACCAGTGAAGCACAAGTAATAGTTAGATAATTGTAAAACAAAATTTCCAAAATATAAAGGAATTAAGTTAACTTTGTAGCTTGTGACTTTTAATTACCAAAGTGATGATTTAACTGTATAAGTGCTGTTATATATGATATTGATACCCCTACCATAGAGGGATCCCTAACCATCAGGAATTTTCAATTTTCTAATTTCTTGAGTGATGGCCAATTGGTGCTCTCACACCCTCAGAGCATCCAAAATTCTACCTGTTACCAGGTAGAATAGAGGTACTAGGGATATTTCCTAGTGCTATAGAAATATTTCTGATGTACTATTTGCATCTGATAATTTTTTTGCTGCCATTGTAGGTTCTGCTAAGTCAATGGAGCCTTCTATGGGTGTTGAGCTTACAAGGAGCTTGACAGGAGAGCTGAACCTAGACAACAAAAGGGAAGGCCAGTCTATACAATATAGTGTTGGGAACATTATCATGGATGGAGATACAACCACCATATCCCACATCCATCAAAATGTGAATGATCAAATCAGTGTCTGGTCTGACATTGGACATGCCAATAAAGCGCTCCATGGTCACCTACTAAGAATATCTTCCAGCCACAAGGCTTTGAGCAAAACTGTCATTGACTATCTTGTCAAGTGCTTTGGGGATGTCCTGATGCAGAACAAAGGCAATCCAGAGGGCATTCGAAAGGGTTGCAAGGTAATTCCAAACCATGCTTTTGGGGACCACAGTTCCTGTGGCTCCTGGTGTCAGTACAAACAAAATCCAGAAAGTTATCGGCAGCAGTCATTACCTTATGGCAAGGATCTTGAAGGAGAGGACCTAACGGCAGATTTCTTACAGGTAAAGTAAACAGTTACTATTATTGAGCAGTTCGTCTTCAGAAATTATTATGTTACAAGTAAGCACAAGATGCAGAACTCAGCACAAAACCAATATTGTTTTGTCCTATATCTTTTAGATTTTTGAACTCTTTGCAAGTTATGCAGACAAGCAGGCACCACTGGGGTCAACACAACCCAATGAAAGCTTTAATAACTCAGTGTCAGGTCATGCCCCTAAACATCTACACTTTTCAGGTTCTGCCAGCCTAAGGGGCAGAGTCGCACTTGCTGTGGCAACCAAAAACAGTGGAAAATCAACAATATGTAAGGTACAGTATCCAACTTGTGACCAAACAATACAATGTAAATCAACTACATGGGATAATTATAATTATATGCTCGCCACACAACCCCTCTGTTTACCTTTTATGGCTCCAAAATATAAAACTCAATATTTTTCTGCAGAAATGAGTGATGATTAGCACAGTTATTGATGAAAAGAACAAGTTTAATGCCAAAAAAAAAAAAAATTGGGAAAAAAGATCATACTGAAGCTATATAATTTAGATGACCTGGGCAGGTATTTCACAGTATCAAATAAATTTATGCAGTACATCGCAAATAGCAAACGGTAGCAAGCAAACTTATTTAGGTATTCAAAGTAACATACACGTAACTTGAAATGTACAATACTTTGAGACAGAGATCAGATGAGGTACCTAGTTAAGTTTAAACTTCTATACGGGTAATGATTTTTAATCTTTTTAGATCAACGAGGCGAATAATCTCTCCCCTGGAAGTGTCACTGTAAAGTTCAACAAAAACTGGGAAAGGGAGTACAGGAAAAGAAAAAAGAGAGAGACCACTAGAGCATATAAAAGAAAGAGAATAGTTAGGAAGAAAGCTAGAAATTCAGAGACACGCCAGGCAGCAGTACTTGAAGGAAAAACCTACCAGAGTGGTGTGCAGTTTAGTACTGATCAACCAGATTTAGCATCCATTCCTACTCCATATTATGCACCAACATCTACCCCTCTGAGTATATCTGATATCCAGAATTCAACACTTGTTGTGTTTGACCTTGAAACCTCCAATATAGGTAGATCAACCCTTTCATCTCCTTGGCATAGTAACATTTATGCACGTGTGTGTTTGTCTTGTGGTATGTGTGAGTTGTTTTTTTTTTCTTTTTGCAAAGAAACCTAAACATGACACAAAGTACATGACTTTGTACAGTTTAAAAGTACAGTACATGTATATTCCTGTGTGAAATCCATCATGCAAACCACAGTTTTTGGAAGATTCATAAAATATGGTATTAATAATAGTCAAGTCATACATGTATAAGGGAATTTAGGTTCACTCGTTTCAAATTAATAGAGGAATAGCTTGAAGCAAAATGTGGAATTCTATGTTAACTTTTCCACTACTGCTTGTAAAGTTTTCACAACTGGAAAATATCAAATTTAGGTTTCCATGAAATTAAAGACTTGCTTGGAAATTCTGAATACAAAAACTACCCTCATAATACCCTTAATAACTTTTGTTCTTGGTAGATTTTCAAAGGAAAAGAAATAAATTCACAACATCTGTCTCCTAGGGAAATCAACAGATCACCTTTTGGCCCACTTTTCTGGCAAATACTGAAATCACACAAACTAAATATACTGTTGAGAAAAAAAAAACATTTAATAAATATTATTACTTACAGTACATGTATAATTTACTGCTGTCTTTCTTTGGCAGGTCTGAACAATGCAGAGATTTGCCAGTTATCGGCAGTGCAGTGTGCAGGGCAACACCAGACCTTTGATAGATATGTTTTGCCCAAGAATGGAATTTCACAACAGGCCTCTCAAGCAAACAAACTGACCATTGTAGCTGGGCAGCTCCTATATAAATCAAAGCTGGTTAAAGCCATTACCCTAACAGAATGTCTACATGACTTCGTTACGTTTCTTAAGTCTTTTAAGAGTAAAATCATCCTTTGTAGCCCATAACGGTAAAGTGTTTGACTCTAGGATTTTGGTCAAGGTGATAATAGCAAATAACATGCTAAGTGAGCTACAGTCAGTACTAACAGGATTCATTGACACTTTGCCTATGTTAAAGAAATTATTGCCCAACAGAAGTTCCTACAAACAAGAAGAACTGGAGAGGGGCTGCCTAAACAAAACATATGATGCTCATAATGGCCTTGAGGATGTGAAATCCTTAAGAGATCTACTTCTTCATCTGAAACTCAGAAATCGGTCCTTTCTTCGCACAGCTTCCATGTAGAGTTTGTCTGCGAGTCTCTCCAACATCATGCCAGGATGACCACTAATTTCCCCTCCTTCAAAGACATGATATCAAAGAAAGTATTATCAAAAGCAATGGTACAAAAAATTGCTGGTTCAGGTTTAAATCTTCAGCAAATGCAACTCTTTCATGATAGAGGTGGATATGATGGTCTTCACAGTGTACTAAGTGCAAAACAAAGGGGCCACAAAAGTAAATGCCGAGTGACTGCTTCCAAGAAGGTCTTGAGAACACTATCGGACCATCTGTCGAAAGAATAAATACCTGAGTATGCAATACTTTCAAATGATATACCATGAAACATCCTATGAGTCACCTGTAGTTTTAGACAAGCCTTTGGGAAGGTGTGTATCAAAGGCTCTTTAAGCCAAGTTGTGATATTTTAGGCATGTTAATATGACAAGGGTTGTAAAAAAGATTTTTGAGGAGTTTGTATGTTGCATAACATTGCACAAATTTTAAAACAATCACTACAAAAGGTGAAATATCAGTTTGCTTTGGCAGACATTTTGTTATCAATGACTTTTTTTTTAGTGAGAATAATTTTAGTTGATGAGAAATAACTTAAGCAATGGTATAATTATAATGATGATATCAGGTATATATTCTGTATTTAAGGCAGTTACACAACCAGAGAGGAGTTCAAAAAGAGAACAAACCATTTTGTGATATAGAGATAATTTTCAGGAAGTAGATAAGTTTTTCATTTTTGTTCCGCAGAAAGCCTTGTTGTAAATTAGCAATTCCCTGGGGTCCCCCTTCTAGTAGGAGTTTTACACACATGCACAGTAAGACCTGTTGTTCGACCACAAGGTTGCGAGTTGTCGGCCATGTTGAAAAGTGTACACATTTATTTCCTCAGAAATTAAAATGTTGTATGTTCTAAAGACTGAACTTTTTTGCTGACCTTCGAACCTGGGACATACGGAACAATTTTAGTACAAATAAATAGATTTATCATTCAAAAATTTTGTAGCAAGGATCAGTCCTTCAATGTTCTACTATTTCCTTGGAGAGAAAAAAATTAAAGAAAGCTTAAATCAAAGGCCAGCTTAAATAACTGTGACAGATTGATGAGACATAAAAAGATCAATCATACATGTGTGAAACCGTCAGTACCAATTATTCTCAGTCTAATGTTTCCAAACAAAAACAAGTAGATTACCACATGAAATTGACAGTATTGCTGCATTAATAGTATCGGTATCTAGATTCCCTAAGCAGTTAGTTTAAAAAATGGAAATACAAATACAAATACGCTAAGGAGAATAAAGTGGTCACTCGGTGTTTTAAAGGCACATGTACAACTACATGCACCGTTTATTAAAGCTCATTTTGGTTCTGTCTGACTCTCTGTCAGCTTGCATCAAAGTTCTTTTGCTTTTATGCTTCACACATTATCGTCAAAAAGACCCGTGTTCTTTCAGTCGCAGAAGGACAAAGAAAAACTGCCTCAGCAAAACTACTTTAATAAGTCGACGCAAGTCCCACCTGCATGATGTCAGTGATGCATGACTGACGCTAATGATTAGCTTTCTTCACAGGTTTAATGCTCTTTAAATTTCCATTCACGCTCGATATGCGACGTGTAGTAGAAGCGAAAATGAATCTCAAAGCAACGAGCGAGAAAGGAATAGACAGTCACTGATAAATCGTAAAACATGTTGCCATGGAAGTCAATATCCGTTCAACTGAATCGCAGCAGGCAAACAAGGTACCGTAGACATATAAAACAAAAGCATGGTACAAACTGGGTTTCTGATCGAATCGATAACTCTGAGCCCCCAAAAAATATATACCCGCCAGAAAACATTAGCGCTGTTGTAATTAACATGAAGGAGCTTCTTCATCCATAAACTTTCCTCTGTTCCTTGCAGAATAAAGAAAATCTCATACTCCAACGCCAGAAAGTAGTTCTTCTGCCAAGTGCAGTCACACTAGCTGCCATTTTGAATATTCCGAAATGGAATGATGCAAACATTTAACTCACTAGGGAGGGGATGGGAAAAAATGTAACCCAACCAAAAGGTATTCCATACAAGTTGAAAACAGCTTGAATAACTTAAAAAACGCGTGGTTACCCCTACATTTTATGTTATGAGATGGAAGTGGCAAGCCTATTCGGCATGTGATTAGTTTCTGGTTGCGAGCAAAAGCTATTTAGACTGTATTTTAGCTGTACCAAAGGAACGCTGTCATAAACGCTATAAGCCCTGTTGCGAAGATTTTGTTATTAAAAACGTCACAAAAGTGTTTTTTATGTTACCATTTGTAATGTAGTTTTAAGATCTTTATAAATGTGTTTGCTTTTCTGTATGTGAAGGCAAATTCTAAGGAAATCTGTGAAGAAATATCCTTTCCTTCTTTTTTCAGAAAAATGCTGATGTCAGCATTTTTGTTGAGATTCAGGGCTAATTATCTAGAAAAAAATGCATGGCTACTCCCATTTTTCTTTGTGGATTTCAATAGCCCTTGCAAAGATCTACTTTTTCCTCATGGTCCTAATTTGGCACAAAAACCTTCGTATTTAGTAGGCACCGTCCTTAATAACATGAATCAACTGTAATTTGATTACAAATATTATTTCAATGAAGGCAAAAGTTCCAAAATGAAGATCATTTTAGTTTTTGTAATGAAAAAGAGCTGCAGATGAATCGTGTTCTTTATGGTGAAAGGATTACAGCAACTTCCGCTGATATCTTTTTCTTTCAGTACAAATCAGCGATCTTGTTTCGTTTCTGCTTTGAATTTTTGATTTTTTCTTTGTCTTAAATTTTGAACACTCATGTTGCTGAAGGGCTTAATTGTTACAACACCTTTCAAACCATCACTTAAAATATATTTGGAGCACTTTTGACCTTAATGTGTAACATTTCACTAAGAAGAATGCCTTCACATTCACCACGCAGATGCATAAAGAACTGGATCAATTAT